CCTTTCACCTCTCACTCCCCACTCTCTCCCCTCTCTCCACCTCCCACTCCCTATTCTCTCCTCCTCCACCACCCACCCTTCCCACCTTTCGCCCCCCCTCACCTCCACCTTCCCACCTCTCGCCTCCTCCACCTGCACCTTCCCCACCCCCTCGCCTCTTCCACCTCCCATCCCCACTCCTTCCACCCCCCTCCCCCTCCCCCTCGCTCTCTCGCCCTCCACCTCACACCCTCATGAGTCCCGACCACCTCATTAGCATATCCTCTTCCTCCTGCTGCTTGGTAGTGTGTAGGTCGACTGCGAGGGCGGCGAGGTGGGCGCAGAGGGCGAGCTGGTGTCACGCTGAGGAAGTGGGCGTGAAGATGAAGTCCTTTGGTGTGGTTTTTGTTTGCAATGCCAGTCATGTTTTATGCTCCGTGTTTGCTTGTAATTCTTATGTGAAATGAGTTGTTGTGTTATAAGTATTTTAAGCACTTTATGTACTTGGATTGTAATTTTACGTACTGTTTATAATTGCACTTGTTAAGCGATATATGGCATTGTATTGTGTGCATTGCATAAACTTTATGTACTTGTAATTGTTACTGATATAAAACATTGTGAGCAATTCTACTTTCTATGTACTTATCATTGCAAAGTGGTATAATATATTGCACTGCAAAGAATTCCTTGCGTCGGGATTACATTCTTGTTGTTAAGTAATCTAATGTACCGTATCGTAAGTAATTTAGTGAGTAAGTGTGCTAACGCAGGCGCTATACATAATTCAGTGTGTTCGTGTCCTGTATGAACAGTGGAAGTAGATTGGTGTATTTGTAAGGCAAGCTGGGACAGTAATTCAGAACATGCATGATTCACATATTGCTTTGAAGCAACAACAAACACAATGATGATGATGATAATGATGATTATGATGCGTGATGGTGATTGGTGATGACGATGGGATGGTGGTTGATGATGTGATGTTGATGGATCGGTGGACGATGGTGATGATGATGATGATGATGATGATGATATGATGATGGTGATGGAGATGACAACGATGGCAACTATAACGATAACGACGCGATGACGATGACAAATGATTAATGACCAACAATAACAACGCTTCTCAAACACAACCAACAACAGCCATCACCCCACATCCAAACCCGCCCGACACCTCCGCACTCGCCCCACACAGACATCCAGCCGCCAACCTTTCCCACAAGACGTCGACCGAGATCTCCGCCTGTACCTTTTCCCTCAGACGCGCCTTAAGAATGCCATACACAGGGAACTTTGGCAGCTACAAAATGCCACGATTGCATTCTTTTCAGTGTTTGGCACTTCAATCTGTCCCGGAATGCAAGGGTTTATGTCACGGTGGGAAACAACGGGGGAAGAGGTAGGAGGGTACTTGGGTCTTTTGTTATATATACTTATATATTATAATACACATATATATATAAAAATATTAATTTGGGGGTATACTATATATATATAATATATATATATATATATATATATATATATATTTATATATATTATATATATATATATATTATATATATATATATATATATATCTATTATATATATACCTATACACACACCGCGCGGCGCGCGCACTACACACAAACACAAAACACACACACACACACACACACACACATATTACCATATATTGCATCGAGTTTTATACATTCATATATTCAGTTTCAGTCCTCTCTCTCTCAACTCTCTCTCTCTCTCCTCTCTCTCTCTCTCTCTCTCTCTCTCTTTCTCTTCTCTCTCTCTTCTCTCTCTCTCTCTTCCTCTCTCTCATCTCTCTTTCTCTCTTCCTTCTTCTTCCTCTCTTTACTCTCTTCCTCTCTTCCTCTCTTCCTCTCTTTCTCTTCTTTCTCTCTCTTCTTTCTTTCTTTCTCTCTTTTCTCTCTTCCTTTTCTTCTCTTTCTTCTCTTCCTCTCTTCTTCTCTCTTCTCTTCTCTCTCCTCCTTTCCTTTTTCTTCTCTTATCCTTCTCTACCTCTCTCTCTCTCTCCCCTTCCCCTCCCCTCCTCTTTCCTTCCTCCTTACTCCTTATTTTCCTTCCTTTCCTTCTCTCCTTCCATCCCTCCATCCCTTTTCCCTCCCTCCCCTCCCCTCCATTTCCCCTCTCTCCCTTCCACCATCCTCCCTCCCTCTCACCCCCCCTCCCGACTGTCCAGCATGATGCAGCGGCGGGTGGACTTTGAGCTGACAGCTGTTGTCGCGTGGTTCGCTTACCCCTAGTTTAGGCTGTGAATATCGATTTTTGTAGGCCTATGGAGGTCCTATATCAGGCTTATGTAAGATTTCATTGATTTTGGTTATAATTGGCTTCAATGGACATTTTTTTCTGTCTTTTTTTGGGCGTGGGAAAATTCGATAATAGATTTTGTATTCGTTTATTGGTCAACTATTCTTGTGATTTTGTACTGTTCAGAAACGTGACGTGACGTATTAATGATGATAATTAAAGGATACTAATGATAATAATAGAAACAGTAATATCTTGTAACAATATATGATAACTAACCAATAATAACAACAGTAATAAAAATAACACTAATGAAAATCACAATGATAATGTTAGTAAAGAAAATAATAATGATAATATAAGATTAATAATACAATAATAATGATAATAGTAATATATAATTATTATACATAAATAGATTAAATAAATAAATAATATGAATAAAATAAAATAAAATAAAATTGTAATAATAACAACAACAACAACAAAAAATAATGATTGATGATTCACGATGACGACAATAACAACAATAATTAACGATCGATTAATGATAATAACAATGATTAATAATAATGATAGTGACGATAATTACATGCAATAATTAATGGATAATAATAACAATAATAATAATAATGTTAACAATGATAATGATATTAGTAACAATGATAACAATAATTAATGATAATAATAATTTAATTGCCCAACCAATAATATAAGATAATAATTAATAAACAATTAATAAACCAATAATGAAAAAAATAATGATAAACAATAATGACAGACAGGAACAGACAAAAATAGGAGCGGAAGTGCTCCCTGGTTGATGGTGGTGGTGGTGATTGATGATGATGATGATATTAATAACTATTTAATAATAGTAATAACAGAACAATAATAATTGATAATAAGGATTAATTAATATCAATAACAAACAAAAAATAAAAATAATAAATCTATCATAATCATCATAATAAAACGACACTATCAATAAAGGAAAAAAATAAGAACATTCACCTCCAAAAACGTCGGTTTCAAAACGGAACTGGAGCTCACACCAAAAACATTTTTTTTTTTTTTTTTTTTTTTTTTTTTTTTTTACGGCCGCAAGGACCTCCGCCAGCAACCGCCACCATTACAAAACAAGAGGGTCGTATGGGTGGTCTTCATTATCCGTCCATTCACAAAGGAATTTTTTAAAGGTCTCATTACACATGCCAAAACACCCCCCCCCCCCCCCCTCCTCCCTCCGGTCCCTTCCCACAAACCCGCCACTACCCTGATGTCTTCTTCAAGGCTACCCCGCCTCCCTCCCTCCCCTCCCTCATACCCTTTTCATACCCTTCCCTCCCATAATTCCCTCAATCAGCATTCTCCTCTCTCCCTCCTCCTCTCCTTTGCTACTACCGCACGTTCCCTCCTGACTCCCTCTCTTCCTTTGCTTCATCCCTTCTCTGTCCTCCCTTCTTTTTCTTTACTTTCTCCTTTCTGTCCCTCCTTTCTTTTTTTTTGCAATCCTCCCCACTTCGCTTGACATTCCCTCCTTCCCTCCCTCTGGCTTATTCCCCCCTCCTTTATTTTTCCCTCCTCCCCCCCTTTCCTTCCTCAGCCTGTACATCCTCTCCTTCCCCACCCCCTCTCCCTCCCTCCTTCCCACCACTGTCCTCCTCCCTTCCTCAACCCGCCCATTCTCTCCTCCCTCCCTTTCCCCCCTCCTCCTCCTCCTCCTCCCTTCCCTACCTCCCTCCCACAACCCACACACTCCCTCCCTCCTCCTCCCCCCTTTCCCCCTTTCCTCCCTTCTCACCCGCACATTCTCTCCCCTCCCTCCCTTTCCCTCCCTCCTCCCCCCTTCCCTCCTCTCTCCTCTCCCCTTTCCCACCCTCCCTCCTCCTCCTTTCCCCCCTTCAACTTCCCTCCACAGCCCGCCACCCCCCTCCTCGACCCCGCCATCACCACCCAAATAACAGACCCCTAACGCCATAGTCATCACACCACCTCCGAAAGGATTTTGCTTTTTCTAGGCACCAACAGGACCCGATCGACCTTGGTGTTGAAGTGCTTGTTCTAAAAATAACCGCGAGTTAAAAAATATGGAACGCCGTTGGAGAGAGAGAAAGAGAGAAATAGAGAGATAGAGATAGAGACAGATAGATTGATAGATAGATAGATTAGACAGATAGATAGATATGATATATATATAGAGAGAGATATAGGATTCAGATAGATAGAGATGAGATGAGAGATAGAAGATTGAGAGAGGAGAGAGAACGAGAGAGAGGACGAGAGAGAGAGAGAGAGACGCGAATAGGGCTAGTGAATACTGTAGATAGAAATCATATATAGAGAAAGGAGGGTCGAAAAATTTCGGTTGAGGCTGAATATCGATATTCAAGAATGTAAAAAGATAGATATTAATAGTTGTTGTTAGACAGATAATGACAGTAAGATAGAGATTAATAAAATTTGCGTGTATGTATTATCAAATGTTGTGCGTTGACATTGATACATAAAGAAAAAACATTGATAATGTAGAGAGATGAATGTCTAAACATGGAAACAAATAAAAGTAAAGGCAATTCAAACACAAAGAAAACTAGATTCAAACACCCGAGTTATACTGCCATACAAATAAACCTCCAATATAGAGAATGAATCGATCAACAAACAACAATAAAAGAAAACTCACAAAAATCCAAAGCAACCGAGTTCGATCAGAAATATCCACACGATCAAGTCAATCCAATGCCAATAATACCCTCAACCGGCCACCATACCCTCAACCCAGCGACCGGCCACCATACCCTCAACCCAGCGACCGGCCACCATACCCTCAACCCAGCGACCGGCCCACCATACCTCACAGCGACCGGCCACCATACCCTCAACCCAGCGACCGGCCACCATACCTCAACAGCGACCCGGCCACCATTCCTCAACCAGCGACCGCCACCCATATCCCTCGACCCACGACCGGCACTACCATCCCTCAAACCCAAGTCGACGTGCCACCTACCCTCAACCCCAGCGACCGGCCACCCATCACCCCAATCCCAGCGACCGCGCCACCATACCCTCTACCAGCTGTACCGGCACCATACCCTCAATACCAGTCGGAACCGCCACCATACCCTCAACCCACGCGACCGGCCACCAATACCCTCAACCCAGCACCGGCCACCATACCCTCTTTCCAAAAAAACCCCCAAGGCCGACAATGCCGCATCCACCAACCTCACACCCAGCTACCGGCCACATCACTCTCATAACGCGCACCGGCCTACCTACCCTCGACCAAGCGACCGTGCCACCATTTACCCTGACCAGTCGACCTCGCCAACCGCATACCCTCAACCACGACCGCCACCATACCCTATATCCAGCGACTTCACCTACTACTCAACCCAGCGACCGGCCACCAACCCCTCAACCATGCGACCCGCACCATGCCCTCAACCCAGTCAGCACCTGCCCCACCATTACCCTCGATCCCAGCGACTCGCTACATACCCTCAACCCAGCGACCCGGCCACCATACCCTCAACAGCCGACCTGGCCACCATTACCCTTCAACCCAGCGATCCGGTCCACCATACCCTCAACCTAAACAGCACCGGTACATTACCCTTCCGACCCAGCGACCGGCCACCATACCCTCGACCCAGCGACCAGTGCTCACCATACCCTCAACCNTAGATCTAAACACCCGAGTTATACTTTCTTACATATAATCCTTTATATTAGATAATAAATCAATCAACAAACAACAAAATAAAGAGAAAACTCACAAAATCCAAGCAACGAGTTCGATCCAGAAATATCCACACGATCAAGTCAATTCAATGCAAAAAAAACCCTCAACCGGCCACCATACCCTCAACCCCAGCGACCGGCCACCATACCCTCAACCCAGCGACCGGCCACAACCATACCAACTAGCGACCGGCCACCATACCTCGACCCAGCGACCGGCACCATCAACCCAGCGACCGGCCACCATACCCTCAACCAGCGACCGGCCACCATGTCAACCCAAGCGACCGGCCACCATACCCTCACCCAGACCGGCACCATACCCTCGACCCAGCGACCACCATACCCAACCCAGCGACCGGCCACCATACCCTCAACCCAGCGACCGGGCCACCCATACCTCACCCCAGCGACCGGCCACCATACCCTCAACCCAGCCGGCACCATACCCTCAACCAGCGACCGGCCACCATACCCTCAACCCAGCGACCGGCCACCATACCTCAACCAGCGACCGGCCACCATACCCTCAACCAGCGACCGCCACCATACCCTCAACCCAGCGACCACCATACCCTCACCCAGCGACCGGCCACCATACCCCTCGAAACCGGCCACGACGGCCACATACCCTCATACCCTCGACCCAGCGACCGGCCACCATACCCTCAACCCAGCGACGACCGGACCGGCCACCATACCCTCGACCCAGCGACCGGCCACCATACCCTCAACCCGACCGGCCACCATACCCTCAACCCAGCGACGGCCACCATACCCTCAACCCAGCGGCCACCATACCTCAACCAGCGACCGGCCACCATACCCTCGACCCAGCCCAGCGACGGCCACCATACCCTCACCCGACCAGCGACCGGCCGCCTACCATACCCGCCTCCCACTTAAGTAAGTCGTCAGCGTTTCATTACTTATGCACACGTGGCCGACCAGAGAGACCTGTTAATGAAGAAGAGGCTCCACCCGCCGCGCCAGCCCCCGAGATCGCAATCGGGGCGTAGTTATCCACGTCATCACAACAACCTGACGGAGGATTGACCTTTCGACGCCCTTGGTGGTGGAGGGGGGGGAGGGAGGGGAGGGGAGGGGGGAGGGAGGGGGAGGGGAGGGAGCGGGAGGGGGGGACAGGTCACGGTTCGGTAAGTGGATGGGGTGGGTTGGGGGGGTGGGGAGGAGGGACTGGGGGGAGGTCACGTGTTCGGTAAGGTGGGGATGGGTGGGCGAGGACTGTGTGGGAGGGGAGGTGTGGGTAGGGGTTGAGGGTGTTGGGTCAAGATCTTGGATGATGGGTTGGGGTTTGGCTTCTGTGTTGGGGGAGGGGGAGGAGGGAGGGAGGGTGGAGGGAAGGAAAGTTGCTGAATTCTCTGAGTGTGATATGTTTTCTCTGTTTGTTTGTTTGTTTTTTTGTTTGTTTATTATCTGTCTCTGTCTGTTTATGTGCCTGGCTGTTTATGTGTGTATGTGTGGTAGATAGAAAAAGTCTGTCTGTCTGTCTGTCTGTCTGTCTGTCTGTCTGTCTGTCTGTCTGTACAAAACCGTAACAAATTCATTAATTGGGACAGTGTGTACAATTGTTACGTTCATGCGATTGTTTGGTGATGGTTGCGCTGGTAATGGTGGTGATAGCGGTGGTGGTGATGAAAATGGTGCTGATAAAAATGTTGATAAAATGTAATGGTAGAGGTAATGGCGATGGTAATGGTGGAGATAGTAGTGGTGATGAAAATGGTGGTGATGAAAATGGTAGTGATGGTGGTGGGGGTGGTGGTGATGGATAGTCATTAAGTGTGTGGCTCAAGTGTGATAAAGTGTCTTAGATTTATTAATGAGGTGGGAGAGACAGCCGAAGGTGAACAAGTCATTGTGTTTCGCGTTTATTTATTTTGTATGATAAACTTTGTAAACAAGGCTGTCACTGTCATCATTAATATTATAACTCATTAAAAGTATTTTTATACAAAGATGTTCGTCCCGATAACAATAACAACAGCTTTTTTCATTTTATTGGGTATCACTGTAGGAATCATTGTTATTAATATTATCATTATCTATACAACATTATCATTATAATTACTAAAATCATCTTTATATTCTTCTTCTTCTTTTCTTCTTCCTTTTTCAACTTCCCTTTCGTATTATTATTATCGTTATCATTATTGTTATGATTATCATCATTATCCTCTTGATAATCATTATCATTATCATCTTTATCCTTATTTGTCATTATAATTTGCATATATTTTTTGTCATTCAATTGGTTATTAATATAAAGTGTTATTAACATTTTCATTAATGTCATTATTTTCATTTTTGCTAATGATGTGATCCTTATCATCATTATGATAATGATAAATACAGTGATGGTTATTATAGTGATAGTAATGCTAATACTAATGATGATGTTGATTATGATGCTAATAATAATAATAATAATAATAATAATAATAATAATAATAATAATAATAATAATAATAATAATAATAATAATAATAATAATAATAATAAATAATAATAACAATAATAATAATAAATAATAATAATAATAATATAAATAATAAATAATTATAATAATAATAATAATAATAAAATAATAATAATAATAATAATAATATAAAATAATGATAACAATAATAATAACAATAATAATAATTAATAATAATAATTATAATAATAATAATAACAAGAATAAAAAATAATAACAATAATAATGATAATAATAACACAATGATAGTAATAATAATGATAATAAAAATAACGATAATGATATTAATCATAATAATAGTAATAATAGTAATAAAAAAATAATGGTAATGGTAACAGCACAATAATAATGATAATGATAATGGTAATAACAATAGCAGTGAGATAAATGATACTTATAATAAAAGTAATAATGATAATAACTCTAATGATAACTATGATAATAATAATAATAATAATAAGGATAATGATAATAAAATGAGGATGATAATAACAATCACAAAAATAATAATAATGATGATAACAGTAATAACAATAGTAATGATGATAATGATGATGATAATAATAATAATAATAACAATAATAATGACGATAACTATAACAATAATAATTAATAATAATAATAATAATAATAATAATAATAATAATAATAATAATAAAACTATAACAATAATAATAAAAGGATAATAATAGTAAAAAAAATGTATTAATAATAATAATAATAATAATAATATTAAAAATAATAATGATGATAATAACAACAATAGTAACAATAATAACAATAATAATAGTAATAATAACAATAATAATTAATAACAATAATATAATAATAATATAAACAATAATAAATAGAGATAATAATAATAATGATAATGATAATAATAATGATAATGATAATAATGATAATGATAATGATAGTAATAATAATGATGATAAAATGATAACAGCAATAACAACAGCAACAATAATTCTAATATAACAACCAGAATCTTAATGATAATAATATGGATGCTATAGTAATAATATATATAAAATATGATATTAATGAATTGTAATGATACTGATAAGGATAATAATAATGATAAAAAATAATGGTAATAAAAAATAAAAACTTAATAGTGATAATAAAGATAGTGTTATCATTATCATGAAAAGAATTAACAATTACATAATTTGTAATGATATGTTAATGAGACAATGCGATCTTTTATTCACTAATTTGTTTATTCAATAATTCATTTTTTATTCTAACCATTGTCATTATCATGGCTACTAATACTACTACTACTCATCATAATCATCATTATCAGATTCTTCAAAACAACTACTAATACTACTATTACTATTTTTGTTATCATAATCTTCATTATCCTTATAATTACCATTAATCTATAGTTATAGTTATTATCATAATAGTTACCATCATTATCATTGTTTTTATTCTCCTTATTACTATAATCATAATGATGATTATCATTATGATCATAATAATT